ATAGGAAAAGCTTAATATAAAATTGTTAAAGAACAAAAACAAAGCAATGTTAAGAAGTTTGAGAATACTGTCCTACCAGATATCAAGACTTATTACAAAATAAGAGATGAGCTGTGTATCAGAGTGAGATATGCAATCTACATAGGTGCCAAAGGACTAATACAAGAATATACAAAATACTCCAAGTTAATAAAATAAGATTTTTAAACTACAATAGAAAAAAAGAAAAAGAAGCGTAAATAGGCAGTTCACTGGAAGCAAAGTGGTAGGCACTCGCTTCAGAGGAAAACAAATGGAAAATAGCAAACATATGACAAAATGGTCAACCTTGGTAATAATGAGAGGAGTGTATATTTAAACAATTATATGCTACTTCACTTAGATTCAAAAAACTTTTTCAAATCTGATAAAAGCAAGCACTGGTGAGGATATAAAGCCACTGGAACTTTCATACACTGATGTTCTGTGTGGAAACTGGCAAATCCACATTGGAAAGCAATTCGTTAGTATACCATAAAGTTGCAAGTACACAAAACCCCAAAACCAGTTGTTTCACTTTTAATTGTGTACTTTAGAAATACTTGGCAATTACTAGTATTTAGAACTTAAGGAATAATTGGCCAAAATTGCCAATTACAAGAATGTTTACTGTAGCACTGTTTAAATAATAAATGTAAACCAAAGGAAAAAAAAAAGAACGATACATTGTAACACATTCATATAAGGGAATACTCTGTCTCAGCAAAAATAAATGAGTTGGAACTATATGTACCAATATAGACAAATCTCAAAAACATAATTTGAGCCCTATGATAACATTTATATAAAGTCTAAAAATGCTAAATACTATGCTATCATTCACTTTGGAACCATGCATATGTAGCAAACACAAAAACCAAAACCAACCATGCATAGCTAAATACACAAACAGGATATTGGTTACCTTGGGAACCATAAGGGAGGAGAATTGGATTAAAAAGAGACATGCAGGGATTTTTGATTGTACCTAACATATTAAAGTGGGTGATGCTTTGTGCCTGGTGTGTTTCATTGTTAAAAGAGAAATAAAAGGAACTGGAAGTCAGGTGGATCAGTTGGGTATGAGGTGAACACCAATGGAAAGGTGGGAGAAGGGGATGAGTGCATAAGGAGACAATCTCACTTGGAGCAGTCTGGGAAGAAAGCCAAGTTAGTACAAGAAACGGTTATCAGGTAAAAATGGTCTAGAAAAGGACTCAAAATCAAAAGACAAAGCTTAAAAGTATGTTTGGGAACTTGGAGAGGATATTGAGTTGAGGAGTCACATGTTCAAAGTAAAGCATAAGGGCAAAACATCCCATAGCAGTATTTTGGAATAACTGGTAGAAAAAGAGGACATGGACCGGAGAACAAAATCTAGTAAGGTTCAATTATTTTGTGAGTGGCTTTGGGGGAAGCATTGAAGGCTTGGTTGCCAAATTTTTGGATTCCACAAAGCTGAAAGTGAAAAGTAATATATTTGACAGAATCATGATGTTTAAAACACATAGATATTCTGGAATAAGAGCCTAAAGACAGAATTTTTTTTTGCAATGTTTACAATGTGGCATAATACACTTCGAAAAATTTAAACTTATCTAATTACAAGTCTTGATTCAACCTGAATGCCTTAGCACATCACAGGACAAATGTGAACAACTGATTTGTAAAAACACAGAATATTTGACAAGTATTAGTAGTTGTTCTAAGCAATGGGTTCAAATATTGGGCAATGATAAATTACAATAATAAATTAGGACTATTCCAAAGGAGGGTAACCACAATGTTAAGAGTGTAGGCAATACTTAGGAGCTTCAACAAAGCATTCTCTAACAACGTAGAAACAAGATTGTCCTTTGAGTATTAAACCCATAAAGCCACTAGAATGAGTGGGATTAACCAGCTACAGGCCTAAACCAAGATGTTATCTTTTCATGGGTGACTTTGCAAGTGAGTTAGACGTAATCTCAGGGAGGAAGGGCTGGAATGTGATTGTAACAGAGGACAAAGAAACCTAATCAATAATAGTATTTCTTATCCAAAGAAAGATTGAATAAACAGACTTGAGGAGAGCAACATTCTGATGCATATGAGTTATAATTTTCATTGTAACTCAACAAATCCTTTTCTAATTTATATTTTCAAGTCTTGTATTTGGATAGTATGACTTGGATAGCATTTCTCATGTACCAACAAAGTTGAGTTTTCCAGCTGTGACAGTTGAGGGTTACAACATGAGATAGTATAACCTTTCCCTGACACAGGCTCCTTCTTTGTCATGGAAAAATCCAAGGATACTAAGATGTTTAGCCGGGAGGAGACAAGCCAGAGGTGAAGGCTGGTGCTTATCTTCAAAAGGTTTAAAGTTTTTCTTGTAGAAACGAGGTTAGACTCTTTTGATTGTCGGGGGCAGAGAACAGAACAGAGACAACAGGTAGAAAGTACAGAGTAAGATTTCATCTGGCTAAGAGGAGGAACATGTTAACCACTTGAACTCCCAACAATAAAACAGCTAACATCTTTCTCAGGGTTCTTTGATCATAAGCAACAGAGAAAGTCTGAATAAGTATAGCAAATAATAATAATAATAGCAATAATAAAAAGATAAGAAGTGGACCACATATTTGAAAGAGAAAGTGAAGTACCAGGCCTTAAAGGGGGCAGTGATCAAGGCAGCTACAATGATAGAGGGGCAGAAAGTAAAGAACTGTTTCTCTGGGGCACCATCCTCATGATGAATCACCCTCTGCTGATATCTTCCTTAAAATTACTTGGGAAAAAATTCTGATTTTCAAGCTTAGGCCAGGTGTCTCACCTCTTTTCTCCTCCACGCCTGATGGGGAAGGGTAGTGGGCCATCAAGAGTAGGGAATCTTGATGGAGACACAATCAAGGCTTCATGCAATGTAAAGGGACAATTTACCATACGAAAATTGAGGAGCAGGTGAAAATACTAGAAACCCACCATATTCTCATCATTGCAAGTGCAGGAGAAAGCCACTTATTTTTCAGCAATCTTCTATGCTGATTGTTGGAAAAGGCGATTCAGAAGACCCCTTTCTGTTCTATGTTTCTGAAGAGAAATTGAGGGGTGGAATTGATTACTGGGATCCAGGGTCATTAGGAAAGGCCTAGTAAGAAATAGCTGGGGCTGGACGTGAGGGAAGGATGGGACGCAGCTAACAGGGGAGTAAGCCATAGGGCAGGCATGGTGCTTCAGTGCACTAATCAGAAAAGGAAGATAAGACGCTCCTGGAATTGGTTACCTCAAACTTGATATATTTAAATTAGAAGCTACCAGTTTTCTTCTGTTCCATGACATGGCTACAGATAGAGAAATTGAAGAAGTAAGATGTGATAAAAGTTAGTAAATGAAGAAGACACAGGAACTCCTGTCTCTCCAGACCTCCTGGTAGAGTGAGATGCTATTTGGAGAATTTAAGGAATGGATGATGATCCTAATGACAAGGGACCTGCCAGCCTTAATAGTTAACCAATGGAGCTATATAACAGAACTGAGTCACAGTCCTAAAATTCTGAATTTGATGTCTGTGAAACAAAGCAATTAATGAAGGAAAGAAAAGCAATAACTGGCCACTAGTGACCTCTAGTGGAAGTAGGCTTTAGGGAACTTAAATGATCTTTGATTTCTGTTTTGTTTTGTTTTCCTATTAAGAAGATGAAAATCAGTGTTTTTTGCCAATTTATCTGCAGAGGAGTGTGAAGGAAGGAGCTTCTGAAAATAGGGCAAAAATCCTACCCAGAAAATGAAAATGTACCACAAACATGTTGGGCTTTGAGTCAGACTAAGTTGAATAATGTTCTGGAAAAGATGTGGATGAGTAATTGCCGTCAAAGACATTACCTGAGAAAAGAAGAGTTTTTGAGCAATGACTTCACTGGTCACTGGGGGTAGTTTGGCATATTAATGGCAGCCAGCAAGAGAAAATAGGCTTGAAAAGGAGGCTGCATGGGTTGCCAGGATACCTTTTAAACATCTCTTCTTTGTAACATGGAAGAACGTTATTGTTTCTGAAATACGCATACATTTGCCAATTCAGTATTGTATGGCTTGAGTCCCACCACTTTCCTTTTCCTAATGGGTGTCTGTGCCAAGTGTTGGCAAACGCTGCTAAGCTGGGAGGATGTGGGCAGATGCCTGGTGACCTTAGGCCTTTGAAGTGAGACCAGCCTCATAGAGGATCCAAGTGCAATCAAGAAGGTCAACATCAAACCACACTGGGCACTCCACATCCATCTCCTTTGGGAAGTGCTTTCAGAATATATAATCTTGACATTGAAGAGAAGCAAAGGAATGCAAAGATTGATGGGAGGTTTTACATCTGTCTGATCACACTGGGGACTAATAATGGGTGGGTAGAATTAAATGGCAGGTCCCAGGAGCAGGGGTGTGGGTGGGTAGAAAAAGAAGCAAGGGAAAGATAAAAAATAGAGACAATACAGAAATAAACAGAATCAGCTTATCAAGCCCTGGGCAACTGTCACTTCTGGCAGCAGAGCGATCGTTGTCCTTGTCTCATATTACCTGCGTGGCAGGAGGTGTCATCCTGCCTTCTTTCATTATTCAGCCTCTCCCACATACCCTGCTCTTGTTTACTGTTGCTATTGTGCTGCTCTGCAGGCCTGATTTTCCCCTGGATTTGCTCTCTCCTCTCAGTGTCATTTCAAGGATATAAAAATAGCCCCTAAATAATATTTTTGTGAGAATTCCATGCTGGTCTGCAATGTTCAGAATTCTAGTCTTTGTGTGTGTGCAAAAGATGATCTAACTGCCCCCTAAGCCATGACTTCCCTACTGTCATTTCTTAGATGCCAACAAAACCACAAAGCAGAGTTAAGGGAGACCAATGTTAGTGGTATTTCCTCTCTCCCCTGCAAAGATCCTTCTGCCAGGATATATACAAATCTCTAGCTCTAGGATAGGCCATTTTAGAGATGTAGTCTATAAACCAGTTTACTTACTGAAGATGAGCTAATTATCTTAATTTGCTCCAAAGCTTCTGTCAGGCTGTCTTCAATCTCAGAGTCATCTAAGGAGAAGAGGTCCCCAGCTCGTGAGAGATCTTTTTGTCCCAAAACCAGTCTGAATAGTTGATGCATGGTGAGGAGCAGTTTGATCAGTTGACTTTCTATAGACTCAGAGCCATGTGTTTCAGTTATCAGAGCTCAATAAGACAAAAACACGTAGCAGGAGGTATATTTTGTATTCCATGGAAGGTCATTTTTCTCCAGACTTTGAGGTCTTCATTGACACTCTCTGCAAGGGAAACAAATGACACAATATAGCCACTGGCAGAATGGCATAAGCTCAGAATGTGAACTTGGTGTCCAGAGGGGAGAGAGAGAAAAAAGAAACTTGGAAACATGTGCCTAGAGTAACAGATCCTGGTTTAATCATCTTTAAATGAGCTCTTTCTTTGTTTTTGTCTCAAAAAGTCTTGTCAAAAATTACTAGGTTTCTCCAGAATTTAATTTGAACTTTAAAAGTCAACATGAGCCTCATTTTCTCCTTTCTACATCCTTCTCTTCTCTCCATGTCACAAGGACAAGAAACAATCATGCCTAATACTTGCCAGATTTTCCTCAAGCAGATTCTCATCGGAATCAAACAGAAAGGGAAAACAAAAGAAAAGAAGGAGCATAGGAAACACCACCGAGACCCACTTCCTGGAACCCTTTCTTCCAGAACCAGGACAAAGAAACCAGTGCTTACCCTCTTGGTTGGGCTGCCTTGCTATGCTAGCAGTAGAAGCTCCCCCCTCCATCAGTCAAAAAGGTGACCTCAGTACTTACCCTACTCCTATGTATTCTATACTCAAGTAGCAATGAAATGAAGGATGCTGCTTAGGAGAGTGGGGTTAGATAAATCTCTACTGAATGTGAAGATGAACTTGATCACTGAAATTGAACATGATAGCCTTGCCATGCAGGCTAAAGAGGAGGGCTTTGAGATCAGGCAACCTTCCCTCTATTCCCACAGTTGAAATAATAAAGTCCCACTATATTTCTCACCCAATTAACAGTCTACAGAGAGTAGGGCAATGGCACAAATTAGACATCTGATTATTCTCATCAGCTCCCTTCTGGGCCTAATATAATCACAGACCATTTGCACTAGTAGAGATCTTAGTAATCATTTAACAGCCAGTGAGGTTTAATGACTTCCCTAAGGCCCCATAATAGCTGTGGCAAGGCTAGTCTCCTGATTTCAGTCCAGTGGGCTTCCCTCACAGTTTACAGTAGAGTGGAATCACCTTATACATATGGGTAGCTCACAAACGCAGCCACAAGATTAGATAGTGAGAGCCAAGAGTGAGTTCTATAATATAAGCAATAGGCAATTCTGCCTAGCATTTTACTCTGAATGTGTTTGCCAGAGAGTGGGAAAAGGGAGAGGAGAGTCTATTGTTCCCTTGGGTAGTCTCAGACCTCTCCTCTGAGATATCGCTGTGGGAGCACCTCTGTGTTGAATGCAAGTTTAAAGACACATACGCTTCATACAACATGGCCTCTAAATACGAGCCAAATCTTTCATAAGACACTCAACTAAATAAGCAGTCTGTAGTATTCTAAGTGGTACAATTCATGGGCCACAGGGATTTCAAGGGCAATACTGCCTATATGAAGTTTTTATACTATCTACCAGCTTTTGAAAAATGATGCCTGATACTTACATACCTTGATCTATGTACCAGGCATAAACACATTGTAAATATTAATTCATTGAATCCTCATAATTATATGAAGATATATCATCCCCACTTCATAGGTAAGCAACCTGAGGTAGTCAAATAACTGCTAAAGCCATGCAACTACCAAGCTGGAGAGAGGGAATTTGAACCCAGAGACTCCAGTAGTGCTAGACTCCAAGTTCATAACCATTACGAAATACTGACTCCATGTAAGATGTGAGGCTTCTGTTAGGAGTAAAGTTTCTCAGAGCATTATTAATATTTAGTGATGAAGGTGTGAGCGTGGTTATCAAGCAAGAAAATTCATTTCTCTTCCCTCCTACACTGCTCCTGGATCCTTGCCCATCTGTGCCCTGGGATTTAGAGCAACCAGAGAGCAAGAAGAGGAGATGCTTGAGGGAAGAGCAAGGGAGAGTGGTAAGCTTTCAGAGGGAAGTGGAGCACAGCGTGAGGTAGTGCGAAGCAGTTTGCAACCTGGCAAATGCGGAAGGATGAATCACAATGTCTATAAGAAAAATCAGCACAGCGTTTTCCTGCGTTTTTCTCCTAACACATTTTCCTCCCAGGTTCAGACATTTACATTGACAAGAGTCTCAATAACATAATACTCAGGAAAGGTGGATGGAAATGACTTCACCTGACCTGTCAGCTTGTTGGACATCCAGCATTCCCTGAAATAGATTCAGCTGCCCCAGCCATAGATGCTCAGGAGCTCCAAGAAGGAGCAGAAATACAGACTAGTACAGAAGAGCACCCCCAAGCTTTTCCTGGGCTCTTTCTGCACGTTCCACATTTATATGATACCTGGTGTGGAGTCCTACATTTATGCTTCCAGCATCAGCTTTTACTCTTGAGGGTCCATTACATGGAAAACATTGCTTTGGGCCCTAAACAGAAACATCAAGTTGTTTAACGCACAGCCATGCAGGAAAGCTTTCACAAATCTAGGGGTGGAGTGGGGAGAGATAACATTTGCGCATTATTTTGCAAAGGGCTCTCTTATGCATTTTCAACTGTGATCTTCAAAACACCTTCTACAATATGGGGATAACCAAGAGAAAAATCTCGTGGATAATACAAAAAGAAGTTTGGGGAAGTACAAGGGAGAGAGAAGTCACTTACAGTTGAAGATGATAATTATTAGCTTTATGGAGGAAATGGCATTTGAGAAGCACCTTTTAGGATAGCTAAGATTTTTATAGGGTTTTATCAATGCACCTTGTGCTGAGTTCATACTAAATCATCTGCTCATCTAGGAACTGAGGATTAAGTCCCAGCTCAGCTACAGCTGTTGTGGGACATTTAGTTCACTTTTTTTTTTTCTTTCTTGAGGCTTGGTTTTCTTATCTGCAAAATGGAGCTAATACACACCTAGTCTATTTCACCAGGGTGTTTTGAGGGTCACAGGTGATAATGTGTAAAGAATCCCTTTCTAAAATAATGACACAACTGATATTTGGTGGGTGTTTGCCATGTGTCAGGCACTTAACTCAGTGCTTCCCCCATATTGAATTACTTAATTCCTCTGACAACTCCATGCAATCAAAAACTGATGTTTAGAGAGGAAAGTAACCACCATCCCAGAGGCACCTGAAGAGTAAGTTTCAGAGTCAGGATTGAAGGCAGCTGGTCTCCCAGGATGGTTGTATTCATGACTGTGTGAGATTATTGAGCCACCTCCCTTCCCATCAGCTCTCATTCAGTGAGCACCTCCACAGGCTGCACATCCCTTCCTAGATAAAGGCTGACAAGGCACGTTATTTATTTTTCAGCAGCTCTCATCAACATTTTGCTCAGGTGTCTGGCTTCTCTTGCTGGTCTTTTTGTGACAGCAGAATGGTCAGAGCCAGATCAAATTCTACCTCATGTTTGAGAAACTCCCTATCCTTATGAATGTTATAGTCCTGTGGCCTGTGTGCATGTATACATATACATGCACTATATACACACAAGCACACACATGTACACACATGAACATATGTGCACATACTTTATAAACATCAACCTTTTTGCTAGACACTAGACACTTTCTTCTCTTAGTTCTCCCATCAGCCCTGCTGGTAGATATTACCACCTAAGAGGAAACAGGACCGGTGAGGTTAAGTGTCATGCCTAAAGTTACACACAAAGCCAAGATTCACATCCAGCTAAGTCAGACTCCAAAATCTCCTACTTTTTGTATGACTTTTAAAAACTGACTTCTAAAATTCTTTCTTACTGCTCTTAGTTTGCTTCCTTCATAATTTCTTTCTCTAATCTTTAAAGGGTTCTAATCGGAGGCCCACCTTCTCATTATTTAGTTTTTTGTTTTGTTTTGTTTTTTAACTGATATTGGCTGGCGAATCAGCTTTCTGGAAGGAGAAACAGAAACCACAGAAACAGAAATGACTGCGCCAAGCGTGGCACATTTCAGGGAGTCACAGCTATCCCGCGCAAACTCGCTTTACCTGCGTGCTACTCCTCAAGGGCGCCCTTGCGGTTACTCAGCTGCAAGTTTTGAGACTGGGCGGGAGACTCAGGCTGGCTCCGAGGCCACAGCGAGTGGAATCCGCTCAGCTCAGTGAACCTGAAGTTGTTCATTGCGGAGCCGGTGCCGGGTGGAAGAATTCAAGGAATGCAGCCTGATGGCACCGGCAGCCCCAGAGACCGGTCAGGTGACAGGCTGCACCTCACCCAGCGGAGTTACCTCCCAGTGCAACGCTCTGTTTTCTGGGGTGAAACACAAAGCCTGCTCCAGTAAAGGAGAGTTGTTTTTAACAGAGAAAACAGAACTCCCTGTGTTCGTGAAAATCTATACTTTCCCAGGGAAGAATAGGGGGCGGGGCGAGCCACGCAGGAAACAGTTTTCAACAGAAACTTAAGCAGGTGAACCGAATGGCTGTAGGGAGCCGCCTCTCAGAGCCCCAGGGGAGGAGAAGAGAACTGCAGCTGCATTAACACTTCCCTCTCCCTGAGATTTCACACAGGTTTTGGAAACACTGAGCTTTCGTCCAATAAGAGTCACCTCCTAAAGAAAATATCCCTTTGCTCTGCCTCTAGAGTAATATTGTTGAAAGTTTATGCGGGAAGTTGCTAATAAACAGAACAAACTTACTTTACCACACACATACTCTGTTTCCTTATTTGCTGGGAAGTTCTTCATAAAAATCCACGTGGACCAGATATGTTGGATTTGTACTTTTAAATATTGCAGCAATACTCAGAAAAAATGTTTATCCTGCTTAATCTATTGACACTCCGATGGAGAAAAGGGCACTGGAAACTTCTCTTATTGTTTAAACAGTTAACAGTGCACTTTAAAAAGGACAGTTTTAAAAACGGCATTCTTCTCTACCCCCACGTTTCTGTTCCTGCGGTAGATCTATAGCTATCAAATCTTCTCTCTTCTGGCAATGCGTACAGGTGGCTATCGTGCGGATAATCTCATCTTTGTACTCACTAGGTTGTGTCTATTCAGAGTGTGGTCAGGGTGACCACAGTTAGACCAGGTCATATGTTCCAGGAGAATGACCTCATAAATCTGCCTAGACACTTGGTGATCAATCATGTTTTTATGCCATCCACATTTGAAGAACTATCTCCTTGAAGAATTCCTGTATAAAAATCAAGAATCACGCCTGGCGCGGTGGCTCACGCCTGTAATCCCAGCACTTTGGGAGGCCGAGGCCAGTGGATCACAAGGTCAAGAGATCCAGACCATCCTGGTCAACATGGTGAAACCCCTCTCTACCAAAAACATGAAAAATTAGCTGGGCATGGTGGCGCACTCCTGTAATCCCAGCTACTCGGGAGGCTGAGGCAGGAGAATTGCCCGAACCCAGTAGGCGGAGGTTGCGGTGAGCTGAGATGGCGCCATTGCACTCCAGCCTGGGTAACAAGAGCGAAACTCCGTCCCAAAAAAAAAAAAAAAATCAAGAATCCAGTCATTCATGAGTAGCTGTATTTTTTTCACTGGTAGTTTTCTAATTTACAAGATACTAATGAAGTCTCCTCTTTTAATGGAATAGACGATATTGCTTTAGCCTTCCCTTTTAATGCTCTATTCATTATTACTAATTTTTAATTATTACATTTTTATGCAGTTTTCTTCCTTTTTATAAAAGTGTGTAGAGTCCTGAATTGAACATTCTATGGAACTCCAGTAAAAAGAGCAGAGTGATAAGAGTTTGGGAATCTGGACTCAACTGGGTTCCAAGCTCAGCTATGCCATTACCTGCAGTGTAAATGTGGGCAGGTTAATTAGCCTTCCTGAGCCTCGAGTTCCTCCTTTGCTCCTGAGGATTTTGATATGGGTTGTTGGGAGGTTTCAGGAGATGATGTAAAACATTTAACACAGAGCCTGGCATATGGCAACCACAGAAGAAGTGCCAGCAATCATATCCTTAGGAGTACTATTATTCCTATAGATGGTTCACCAGTTAACACATCCCATGCCATACCTTTTAAAAACTAATACACTACTGTACTGTTCACTAAATTGAGTTCACAGGGCTAAAGATGCTTAGGTTATTTCCATTTGTGCCATATTTATATCTTAGTTGTTCTCTCCCTATTTAGTCATTCTGTCCTTAACTCTGGATTGTTCACTTTTCATCTATAAACTTCACTCTCTTGAATGTATCCCTGTTGATTTTTTGGCAACCTTATCTTGTTTCCTGGAGAGAGAGCTTTACTGTGATCCTACCCCCACCAAGGTTGAACAATCACAGCGAATGTTTTTATAGAGCAGAGATGAGCTAGGATACAATGTACCTCAAACTTTTTGTGGCGGGTAATCCAAACACCTGAGTCCATGGAAGTGTAGCACTCCTTCCCTTGTTTATTAATGAGAAAGGAGTGCCCGTCCAGGACACCAGCTACTTTCTTTATGACTTTTAAGGTGACTTACACTCAATGCCCACTAATAAAACATTAGTGGCTTACTCTATTATGCATCTGTAGATTCTGCTAAATGAACATATACATGAACCAGAGGACTTAATCGCTACACTATTGGGATATTGCCTGTAGAATAATTGAAACTCTTGGGAGATATTTCAATCACCATAATTAACTCAAGAAGCCAATTTACTCTGAAGAATTCAGCCTCTAGCTTGCAACTTAAGTTAGGATATTCCCTGGCTTTCCCACTTCAAAAAATTCCAGAATGGCAAAATTTATTTACATTACGCTTTAGACTATGTTACTCTGTATCAAAATATTTTCATTTTATTCACCTGTGTTAAAAAAAATGCTCATTAACAAACTTAGACTTATTTCAGTTCTAGAAACTTTCAATAAAGTTCTCAGATTTTCTCTTGAAAGAAAAGATTAAAGATTCTTTTGAAGGAGCATCTTTTTCACACAGCGTGAAAGGACTACAGGCGTTCCCATGGGAATTGGCTGCATACATTTCAGCCCTTCCCACAAGATGTCTATTGTTCCCTGGACGTCTCAGGGCTTCCTTGGCTGTGACACGTTGCTACACTTCACTTCTACTGAAAGCCTCTGAGGCTGACTTATTCCAAGCGATCCTAAAAGACTCAGCCCTGTCTTTTTGCTACAGTGCATACAATCTAAGTTTGTAGCAAGCTTATTTCATACATATATTTTTTAAAAATAGGTTTGGTGACCTATTTAGGCAAGAGATCAAAAAGCTACTTAATTTTGATTACATATTTCAACTTATTAAAACACAAATAGGAAACATTTCCTTCCAGAAGAATGAGAAATACTTATCTTCAAGTCTAATAAACTTTTTAAAATCCAGGCTTTTGTGACTTGTCATAATTTTACACTGTATCTATTTTCACCTGTAACGTTTGACTTTGCTCTGGAATAATACAAGCCTGGCTGAAAAATCCTAATTCAAATTCTGTGGGTTTGTTCCTGCAGAAAATGTACCAAAACTCTCAAACTACAAGGAAAACTCAATGTTAAATCTATCTCCATTTACATTTAAGTTTCCTTTACTAAATATCTTTATGGCCAACTCAAATAATTCTCTACATTTTTTTTTTTGCTTTTTAAATTGTAAATATATAAATGTCATTTAATCCAATGGTTGACTACTTTAGCAATTTAAGCGTATATCTGAAAGAACAAAAAGGTGATTAGATTTAATTATAATTTTTAAGAGATCTGAAACACCAAAGGAAAAAAACAGCAGCAGCAACCAACAGTAAGGGTGACCCTGTTCAACCTACTGACTATAATGATGCTACAGTATTTAATTTTATTTGAAAATTCTTAGGCAGAGCCAGTTTCTTTGTTGGTTGCAAAATGTTGATTGAGGTAAACAAAAGTATAAAATAGTAATATAGAGACTAGATTATTACAGAGTAAAACAAAAATGCACATAATATGAATCTAGAAGCACAGCTTTCTGCTCCTGAGGCCTAGAGACATGTTTTAATAACCCACAGAGAAGTGGCTTTTTTACCCTAATAACCGAAATGCATGCATACATGGCTAGACACACAGCTCCCAAATGCACTCTATCTGCATAATCAGCCAGCCCCTGGAAGTTTCTCAGCTCCATTCTCCTATCCCCACTCTGCCTCTCTGCAGCCTCTGACATTTACTTTAATTAGCTTTTGTTTTTGCTGAGCAAAAGGACATGAAAGAAGATAGCCATACCTCTTTGCACAGGAATCTCTGGTCATAGAAAATAGAAGGCAAAATGCTTGATCTTTAGAGCACTGCAGCTGGGACCCATGACCACGCTCAGAGGCAGCCTTGCAGCTGCTGCCCAGTCCTGAGGGCTGCAGCCGCGTCTCCCTGTCCTGCTTGTCAAGCCAGCGGTACACTTCATTCCCTCCCCATGGACTCAGCGTGCGGAATCAGGCAAATAAGTAACTTCTCCTCTCTCTCCCAAACTTCTCCTTAGACCTAATAATTGGCACAAAGCTTCACTTATTTCTACACTTGATTTGCAGATTTCTCTGAGCAGATCCGTAGTTTAAAAGAATTAGATTTGCCTAACAACCAGTACTTTAGGTTCTGTTAATGAATAACTCACTTTAAGAAATCAAGGAAGTTTTAGGTTAATATCAGATGTGGGGCCTTTTAGCAGGCATCAGAAAAAAGGCTTGGGGAAGGAATGGAGGAAGGGAAGCACTGGAATGAAACGGTATTTAAGCTAAATATGATAGAAGAAAATACCACAAGAGAAGCAAAAATGGCTAGTGTGAAGGAGCAAGTCTAATTATATTATTGGTATCGCTTACAAAACACAAAACAACTGAATGAAACTTCCCTGGTAGCACTAGGGATTTTTCTGAGCCCGCATGGTTCCTTCTTGCATCCACCCAAATTGCTAACTCCCTTCCTTTTACCATCCAAATAATAGAATTCCTCTCTTCAGACCTAATTCATTGGGATCCCTCACAAGCACTCCCACATTGCCTCATCTCTCTCTCTTTTAAGAGAATGCACTTTAAAACCTCTAATGCATAAATTAATTGGTGGTGCCCAGTAGATTATTATATCTGGAGGCTCTTCTCTCCCTCTTAAGTGTATGGTATGGGCTTTCTTCTCTTATTGATCTGAGGTTTTGCCTATACATGAAAGAAAACATTTCTGAGCCTCTCCCAACCAGAGCTTTCAGTCAAACCATGTGAGTGTGGTGGGGGGGTTGGCGGGGGCTTGCAGTGGGGAGAGTCAGGTGTAAGGTGTACAAGTGGAAATATAAGTATTTCCATTCAGAGGTAATCATACTACATGTAAATAAATTACTGGATCAATTAAAAGGACTACTCATGGGGTGAAGATTACTTTTCCCTGTGTTTGCCACTCGATATTCACTTACTCAACTTCTAGTCAAAACTGCACCCAAATTTCCCTTGGGAAACCACATCCTTTGGGTAGAGTCGATGGCCATAAATAGGATGGGCCTTAATTGGTCTTAGCCAAATTAGAGTAATTGCATTCTCATGATTGTAATGACTAATGCAGGGGAGGTGTGTGACACCTTCTAGGCCAATGAGAGGACAATGATGAATGCTCAGCTTTGGGAGAAAGAAGTCTAAGCTGCTCAGCTTGATGACAAGAAGGTATAAGGTCTGGCTGCTGTTGCCCTTTTACCACCAAGAAAACTGTTGACTTCATTTGGGCCCCTTAAACCACTGGCTCCTAAAGCTAACAAGATCTACCCTTAGATCTTAGTATACACTAATAAACTCCTTAACAGCTTAAGTGATTTTATTTTGGGTTTTCTGCCATTTACCATTAAAAACTTTCCACCAGACAGAATTGGCCTAACCTAGGATTGTGGGAGGGCTCTCCTGGGTGCAGAAAACCTTTCTGAAGGTCAATTTGGCTTGTCAAAAATCTATAAAAATGTGCACCTTTGGATCCAGATATTCAATTTCTATGACTCGGTTATAAAGACATTCATCACAGTGCTGTGAATGTCTTACAATAGAAAAAATGGAAAGGGATAGACTTGAAGTCAGAGAAATGTGATTGATTGGTCATACAGAAAGGAGCAAGTCCACAGTCTGCACACAGAAATGGCTCCAGGTGGAAGTCACAAGAGCAGTGGAGGAGGTTCACCTGATGACTCAGACTCAAGGGCCTAGGGATTTGGGTCCAGCTGTGGCTGTTAGTGAAAGCCCTTCCTCTGAGGCTGAACACGTGACAGAGATCTGAGGAGCTGAGTGAGACCTTCGGACCAAGCCTGGGCACCACTGAGGCAGGGACCCAAACTTCGAAAGCTGCAACCCTATGGCAGTCTTGGTTAAGAGCCTGCACAACTAACCAGTCCTCAGTGAACAGGATGACATCTATCACACTGATAATGGTAAGCTTGTCAGACTCGATCTCTCTCTCCAGCTGGCATTTGGAAGCAAGACTAATCTAAACTGAGAAATCTCCAACTGGAGACAATGGAGACATGTTTAGCATAAAAGGAAAATAGTTTCTGATAATAAGGAGAAGTGAGAATGTGAACATTAATTACAAAAATAAAATTGATGTGACCACATTTTTTCCCTAATAGAATGAAGTGGGACTGGTAGGTTACATATTTATACCTTTTATAAAAAAAAGATATTATACTGAATAATATAATCTCTTTTCACATATGTTGCAAACATCTTTTCAGATTAATAATATTCATCTACATCATTTAAATATAAAATAATATTCCATTGGCTGGTGCTCATGCCTGTAATCCCAGCTGTTTGGGAGGCTGACACGGGTGGATCACCTGAGGTTGGGAGTTCGAGACCACCTGACCAACACCAAAAAATCCCATCTATGTTAAAAATACAAAAAAAAAAAAAAATTATCTGGGCGTGGTGGCAATGCCTGTAATCCCAGCTACTCAGGAAGCTGAGGCAGGAGAATCACTTGAACCTGGGAGGTGAAGTTTGTAGTGAGCGGAGATTGTGCCATTGCACTCCAGCCTCGGCAACAAGAGCAAAACTCCATCTCAAAATGATAATAATAATAATAGTCATCATCATCCACTTATATTCTATAATGCGCTATATATTTTTTCATCTTAACCATGCTCCAACATTTGAATATTTTCTTTCTTTCTTTCTTTTTTTTTTTTGAAGAGAAATTGATCCGTCTCTTATCAGGATGGAGTCTGCATTTCAAGGACTATTGTGAACAGTGGCTTTTTTAAGACCAGGAAAGTTTCCACAATACATTTCCAAGGACAATGAGAACATCTTCATTCTTCATTACATAACTAAAAGAAAGAATCAAGTGACTCTTACCTGAAAAAAGCAGATCTGCTGTAAGATAACTGGCTTTATTCATAGGAGAGAAACAGGTTCCATTTTTTCATAGATAAATATCCAGATAGGTGAATAAATGAGAAACAGAAAAAGAGAGGGAGGTGGGAAAGGAAGAAAGGAAGGAGGGAAAGAAGGAAGGAAGAAAGAAAGGAAGGAAGGAAGGGAGAGAGAGGGAAAAAGGAGGGAGGGAGGGAGGGAAAGAAACTAATCATCAGGGTGTGAAAGGTGGGTATCTACTTTGATGAGGTCACAAGAATGCCTTCTTTTCTTATTTTACTTCTCTTACTGATTTTTCTGCACCGATCATGTTATTTTTGAATAGGAAAAACATTAATAAATTGTAAAATGAAATTGTATAACCACAGATAACTAAGATTCACTCAGCTACAGAAAAAAAAATTCTGACCTGACTTGAATTTTTGTTTTTGCAATGCAGTCATGATAAAAAGATCAACAGATTTGAAAATGTCATAAAATTAGATTTCTATCAATGCTTTTAGAATTGAAACAGATTTATCTGAAGAGATATTTCAGAAAGCAAAATCACTGCATCAGAATATTTGAGCTTCATAAAGAAATACAGTCTTTAAGGTTTGAGAGGAATTCATTTATAAATAATTTATATTTATACAAAATTGTTTTACATTGAAAATTTTTCAACTATGCTTTGAGAGTTATTCATATGTACATAAATGATATAGCTACTTATAAATGGATGCATACATGAGAGATAGATAAAGAGATAGCTATACTTTTAGTTGCTGATAGCATTTCGTGTTACGAATATAGTGCATTTGGTATATCCATTCCTCTATTCTGTTATATCCATTCTTCTATTGATGAAGCTCTAAGTGGTTTGCAGAATTTTACTAAGAGGTAATGCGGATTTAGGGTTGAAAGAGCACACTTGGGCTGGGTTGCCAGCCTAAGTTCAAATCCAGTCCTACCATTTACAAGCCACATAACCTTGGGCAATGTCCTCAACATTTTTGTTATGTTAGTATTTTTTTTTTTGTAATCTATAAGGTGAGGATCTTAATGGTACTTACCTCCTAGAGTTGTTATGAGGATTGTATGGGGTAATATTTGCAAAGTGCTTGGAATCATGACTGGAATGTAGTAAGTGCTACATGAGTGTTTGTTAAATACAAGCCAAAAGGAACATTCTTATAAGTGCTTCCTTGTGCACAGTTGCAGGAATTTGTCTAGGATTCATATCCAGAAGTGAAATTTCTGGGTTGTAGGGTATGCAGATTTTTAATTTTATTAAATGCTGCCAAATTACACTTCAACAGGTCAGAACCAATCAATGTTCCCACAAGGGTGACTTTTTGTCACATATCTGACATTGTTCAAAAAACCTCCTTAATTTGACCTGATGGACGAAAATGGTATCTTTTTTGTATTAATTTACCTTTTTCTGATAAGTGATGAGAGTAAATATGTTTCACACTCTGAACATATTCATAATTTCTCTTCAGTTAGACATCTGTTCAAATTCATATTCTTTTCATGGATTCATATGGAGTGTCTTTTTCTTACTGATTTGAAGAAATAGTTTACATACTGCAAATACTAAGGCTTTGTTTGCTACATTTGTTGTAATTATATTTAATTTGTTTTTCAGCTTTGTTGACTGGAAACATTTGCTATATGTAAGTTTTGTTAATCAAATTTTAAAATTAAAATTAATACGTTAGTATAGTTTAAACTTCAAGATGTACATATATAGAGTGAAAAGATACCCACTCACATATCCTTGTTGTCCATTTACTTAGTTCTTGCCTGACGCTCTGCTGCAAGAAACAAGATGTAACCCTCCAACATTTCTTAATTCAAATACAAACAAGTGAAAGTATGTATTTTATTTCCGTGATTTCTTTTTCCCCAACAGGGTTTCTGATACCCAGGCTGGAGTGCAGTGGTACGATCACAGCTTGCTGCAGTCTCAACCTCCCAGGCTCAAGAGATACTTCCACCTCAGCCTCCCTAGTAGCTGAGACCATAGGTGTGTGCCACTACACCAGGCTAATTTTCATGGGTTTTGCCATGTTACCCAGGCTGGTCTTGAACTCCCAGGCTCAAGCAATCCACCCACCTCAGCTGCCCAAAGTTCTGAGATTCAGGCATGAGCCACCAAGCCTGACCTATTCCCACAGTTTTACATACAAGGTTGTTTGCTCTATACACTCAGTTCTGCAAATTGCTTTAATTA